TTCGTTATCAAGCCAAGTTTTTGCTTCAACTGTATTTTTTCCCTTCAAAAAGCAATATTTTATCAACACGCGAAATTCCTTTTTATCCATTTTTTTCACAATCACAAAAGTTGCTTCACTAAAAATGCTATAATTCACAAACTAATGATCCGACAGCCGTCAAATTTATAGACGCGTCTTTTGAAGGATCGGACTAACTGAAAATCATATGGATTTAGTTCTAGTGCCGCTATCTAGGTGTCAGGCCGGGGACATTTCAATTGACCTATTACAGCCAAGCTTGCGACAGTGTCGACCTCAAATATGTTTTTAATCTATGGAGAGCAGGAAAACGCCTTTCATTCGAACAGCAAAAATTGTGATGACCAAACGAATAAACGAAACGAAATCTGGTATAAAGCCCCCCTACTCCATTCGTACTTTTTTAAAAAAAATCCACAACTTCCCATAGGTTATTTACTTGCTAATTTTGTCTTTTTAAAAGTTGCAAATACATGTCCCTGTCACTCAACAATGTGACTATCAAAATACGAGATTTCTCAGAAATATGAACAAAAACCAAATATAGCCCATATTTAATATTAAAGATACCTAGTAGCTAACTGTAGACGCATTTCGCCATAGGTACCTGAATTGCCGTTTGAATATCTTTAAATTGAACTTATTCCTAAAAACACCAAAAGCATAAATTTTATTGCATATCAGTAGTTTAGTGTATTTCAATTTCTGAGTTGAGCTGGGTAGTTGATCTACTTATACAATCTGGAGAAATAAAAATTAAAAAGGATAAAAAAACAAATTAATATTGTTGAAACTATCAAAAGAATAGAATAGAGTAGTCGTACTGGTGGAGGAGTTAAAATGGAGATAGGCAGAAAGGGTGATAGTGTTCGTATATATTACTAAGGAAAAAAATGAAAACTGAAAAACTTGAGGAAAGAATGAAAATTGTGAAAGAAAATGATGTAATGATAGTAAAGATCTTTAACATAAGGGTGGAAAGAGAAGGTGTTTGCTTAATAGGGGATGAGGGATGGTAAAAGGAATCAAGCAAAGACTCCGATAGAATGATGTAAAAAAATGGGTGGTAAAGATCTAGATCATGGCCCCCATCCCCGAAGGGGGTGGGGATGGGGGAGATCGGTGGAGGAGGTCTCCCCCACTACTGTACCATAAAAAGTTCGTGGCGGTCTCTCCTCCATAAAAAGTTATAGGGGTTCAAAGTTAATAATTATGAAAATTTTTATACATTTCTAGGCATGTAAATATTTATATTGTCNTATTTTCAAAAACAAGCTCAGAATTTAATATTTTCTAAAATTTTCTTTTGTATCCAATTGGTAGGGCTAATTTATTTCAAACAAAAAGCAAAATGTCACCCCCGTAAATTCAACATGTACACCCCTGCGATGCCTAGCGCCGAATGCTGTTTTGTCAATGATATTTACAAGGAATTTTTTGGCAGACTCGTTATTTGGTCCGATGAATTTTATTTTTCAAGTACGTGGCTATTTTCAATTTTCATAATACAAGTGTATTAGTGGTATCTACAAAATAAAATCTGTAAAGAGCAATACCAGTCTGTAGAGGAGCTTAATAACAATTCACTTAATTTTACTAAATCTGCAATGATGCTTTTAAACGCTATTAGAAGAATAACAAACTCTTTGCTTCTCTCTTACCTTTCCTTTTTTGTTTTTTCTAACTTAAGTTGTAAGGAAGATTATGTAGATAATTACTGTTTTGTTAATTTCACAAAAAAGTAGCACACTGTCGATAAAAAACCGCAATTTTCAATTTTTTATAATAAAGGAGATACCTTCCCCACAAAAGTGCCAAAAATGGAATACACTATACATTTTGTAAGAAATAAATAAGATACATAGGTATAATAGTCAACGAAAAAAATCACGTGCTCAATTCGAAGTCCAAACCACCTCTTACACTACCTGAACGTATTTTGGTCTCGTTTGGGATTTTATTAGTCAATCAGCTACTATTACGAAGCTTGTTTATTTTAAAAACTTGAAAAGCGCTTTAATAATTGTCACCACCCATACAAATACCTAATAAAGTTGGTATTTATTTTAGGAAGACCAATCAAATGAAAATCGAGTTCACCTTCGAAATGTTGATTATAATTTAGCTGGCAATTTTTCTTGTGAAGTTTCAACTGACGCCCCGGCTTTTTATACCAATATTGTTAGCAAAGAATTGAAAGTAGTAGGTATGAAAATTTTATTACTGAATAACTATCATTAAAATATTTTTTGTCATGTTACTGCGGAAAGCTCGTTACGTGCTATAAAATAGGGAAGATATGGCCTTTTTTCAGCCATTTTTCAATCGGGAGGCAACAAAATTAGTCACTGAGCGGATGCACTGAAGTTTATGGGCATGCGCAGAAATCAGTTATTCAATAGTCATATTTGTTACATTTTTTATGCACATGTCTAAAATTTGTTATGTTTACTTAAAATAACAAATTGTAGACATGACAACGCATGCGTTTAAATAATTTTCTTCATTGCGCATATGCAAAATCGTGGACATGCGCACAAAAAAATGTAACGAACACGAGTAATGACAAAGATTTCCTAACCTCTAAAACATTTACTCTTATTTCGCCAACTATTAATTTAATGATGAGCTTTTCACACAAACATAACAAAAAATAGTATACGTACCTTGGGAAGAAACAGAGTTATCTCAGACTGCACGTTTGCCACCCGAGCCGAAGGCAGTCTGAAAAAAACCCGTTTCTTCCCTCGATACGTAATGCAGCAATTCGTACTTTATACAAAATTCTAAATACGAAATACTTTTTCCGATTTCATGTCTTATATTTTCATTGTTTACTACAGAATTGTCTAAGAATAAAAGGCTTCCAGTGCTTGTGACCGACAAACCAAAATATGAAGAAGGAGACGTTTTAAATGCATCATGCAGCTCTTCTCCATCGAATCCAGCTGCATCAATTTATTTTATTTTAAACAACATTGTAGTAAGTTATATTTTTAACACTTGTTGGACATACTTGTGTAAAATATCAAAAAAAATATTTAAATTATATATTTATAACAATGTGCAACTGCAATTAGACTGATAAAATGTGATAATGCAAAGTAAAATTGGCAAAAGAAATTATGAACATGTATACATATACATATGTACTTGTTTATGATGCTAGAAAAAATAATCCTTTCGCTTTTTCAATTAAAAATTATAGCAAAACCTTAAAAAAAAACGTTTTGCGCTTATCAGAGCTCAGGAAATGTGCTCCAAACGCTGCTTCAGAACAGAATACAACGTCTTATACAGATTTTCTGAAAACTTTTCCAGAAGTTCTCTGTACCAACTAGCTATTAATGAATATAACGTTCCAGAACTAATTTACTATTGAAACGTATATTCAGAGGACGGAACTAACGTTTGAAGCAGACGTTTTTATTACTGGCACAAGCAGATGTTTTTTTTTTGTTTAGATTATTCTCGAGCAGGGGAAATCTTCAAAAGATACACCCTGAAGGGAGGTAAAATCGAATTTTTACCGACTAAAACCCCTCCTGGAGTGGGGAGATAAACCCTGAGGGTTACTCATCCCCGGGAAGAGAATGGAAGGTTGGAATTGGGAGAGGGTTGAGAAGGGAAAATGGTTAAGTGTGGGGCGGGTGTTGGGGGATGGGGGGATAGAACCGTGGGAATAGGTGGTCCACCTCTGAAGTGATGGGTAGACACTCGCGCTAAAAGCGAAAGTCTGTATATATAAATCGATCATTAATTTAATTCGTGGATTACCCACTGGAGCTCCATAATCCTTAGAAAAAATTTCAAAAAAAAATAAGACGTATTATTGTGTAATTATGTATCAAATGTTGCCTAAGTCTACTAAATATTCGAAATAGGTACTTACTTACCACAAATGTATCTGGGTGTTGTTATTGTGAGTTTTAAGGATAATACAAAATGTTCTTTTTGTAGATATGTGGTCCTTGTAACACGACCATTTACAAAAAAGAAGGACTTTGGCTGGCTCGTTCAAATTTACTATTGCCCCTTTTTCCTTCACATTTTAATACGGATAACTTGATTCTACGATGTGTTACTCATGTTACTGACCGTTATCAGCAAGAGATAGAAATTCAGATTTACAATAGACCGTATCCAATTCCACAAAGAGGTACGTTTATTTATGACCTTTACTGTAAATTTATTAATATAATTGAATTGTTTTTTCTTTTTCAGTTATTTCCTCTGGCGCAATTTTAACCAACGGTAAACTTTTATTATCATGCCTAACTTTAAGTATATTTGTTTGCTTTTATAAATAGGTAATACTAAATAGTCAATAATATTGTATTTTTTACATATACACATTTTTTTAAATATAAACTCAGATGCTGAATTCGGACGTTACCGGATATCAAATAAATTAGCAGTAGCCGAAATCCTTCACTACTCTAAAATATTAACCACAACGTTATGAGCATGGAAAAGCATTTTTTCACAATCTTGTTTTAATATTCTAATACTTGTTAGTTAGCCCCACCACAGGCAAAACTCTTTCTCCATTTAATTATATGTATGTATAATTAGAACAGAGATTTAGGTGGGGGGGGGGGTTAGCGTCTTAGCCAGAGCTCACGCATTGGAATTCTGAATTCGACCAAACTACAGTAATTCAACTTCACTTAATGCAAAACACTTTATACAATGCAAAATTATGTAATGTTTTCATTTATTGTTGCAAAATATCAATTATGTTGTTCACATTGAGAGCTTTTGCGACTTTTCTCTCGGTTTTCATCCAATGGACTTCATCATTCTATTCACATTTATGCAAACATATATTCAGTTATTACAAGGGCTGTTGTGTAGTTACTTTTAATAATGTTATTCAGGCGTTGATTCCACCCCTTTGCGGCATTGTTAGTACGATGCTGTTATCCATAGTTATTCCACATGGCAAGCAATATGGTTTGATTCTCCATCTACTCTTCTACGAAATAATAAAAAGAATTCTTGTAACTTTGGTGAAGATGGAGCAGTTTCCATTATAATTAACGAGGCTTCTTCTACAAATTGAATAGGAACGTATGCTATTACTGCACACGTTCTTAAATGCAGCATCCTTATGTCTTCGTTGTTTTTATAGTATAAGGGTGAGGACCACTCATTGTATTTTTCTCTACGGACACTGTCTAAAATAATAATTGCATCCGCTTATCTGCACATTAGGAAAGAAACACTTCAGTGAAGATATCGGAGCCTGTTCAAAGTCCATTTTTATTGTTTTCAGTTCAAAATAATTGTTTAGTTATAAGAGTAATCCTAATTGTTGTGAATTATCGTAGATAAAATAAGTATAAAGGTTTAGGCACACGTTGACGGACCGTGTGCGACACGAGTTTCTCGATCTGTACACGTGCCAGAAGTCACACTGTAACGAGCTACGTACAACTCCCGCTGCAGTTTACTCTTAATTCTTGTAACATGTGCTTTGGTAAGTCCAAAAGTCCGAATATGTTTTCGAATTTCACGAATACAGATTTTCAATAAAAAATAATAATAACTGATAGAATGGTATATAAAAAATGGGATAAGTATACTTCCATGTGGGACTGGATATAAACGCGGGCACATGCAGGTGTTAAAATGAAGAATACATGTTTGTAGAGATAAGTGATTCAGTAATAGATTACGCTATGATAAATTAAAGAAAGGAAAGAGGAAGTGTTTGGCTGGGAAAGGAAGTAATAGAAGAGTTTAGAAAAGAGTGGATGTATTGAATAAACGACGAAGGGTTATCTGCGGCATATATCTAATACTCCTATATTACTAGTAGGGGTCTAGAAAAAGATGACGACCTAACGGTGCAGACATATATACATCTGTCTCTCTCATAACTACTTCGAGTATTACGCGCATGCTCGACAATTGAAGATGCTTATAAACGCGCATCATTTACCCCACTAGGCTCGTGACGATTGCGCACAACGGGTCGAGTAATCTGAAGAGACAGAAGTAGTCGTTTGTTTTCTCACTTACTCCGTGACACTTCTGCTTACGGGAACTAGCAATATAGAATACAATGGTAAATTAATATATAAGTATAGGAAAAATAATAAAAGCACAATTAAGTGATAATGGAATGGATCAAATACTTTAAAAAGGTATTAGTGGAAGGGGGTGAAGACGAAGATTATAGGAGAGTTTGAGATGCTAGTAGAAAGTGGAGGGGTTGAAAAGGAAGGAAGTTATAAAAGAAATAAAGGCGCTAAAAATCAAAAAAAGTGGTAGGACCAGATGAAGTTCCTAGGGAGGCTTGGAGTTATGCAATAGATATAGTGTTGCAGAAATTTTTCAAAATATTCATGGAAGCATAAGAGGGACATGGGAAAGTGTCAAAAACTACACAGATATTCTTATCATGAAAACTATATAAAATATACACGAAAAACGCAATTTGGTTTCAAAAAAGGAAGGTGGGAGATTGACGCGATTTATATGATGCAAATACTGTTGGAAGAAAAATAATGAATAGTCAAAGGTTATAGAACGAAAAAAATAAAATAGTATGGAAGGGATAGAGATAGAAAAAGTGAGAAATTATTCATATCTAGGATATATGCTGAATGATAATAACAAAGAGATGAGTCGCATATTACCAGTGAAATGATTTGTGATAAGTAATAGAAAAGTTTTTGTGGAGGGACTGGCAAAAAAATTTGGTGCCAAGATATTTCAAAGAAGGGAGGTAAATAAACGTGCTAACAAAATTTATGATAGGGAATGAGCGTACGTATTGTAAATACTGGAAAAAGGACGAACGGTATAGGGTATGTGACAGAAAAGTAGAATGTCTAAAACATGTGTTAGGAAAATGTGAGGATAGTAAAATTTAGGAAGAATGCTATGAATTGATAAATAAGATATTATTTTTGCATGTTAAACAATATATTATGCAGGCACAGAGTATAAACATAGAATAAGTTTAAAAATTTGTAATCGGGGTAATCAGGGACGCAACAAGGGGGGGTCCACGGGTACTGAGCACCCACTCGATTGGGTTGGGTACCGACTCAATTCCAGTCGATTCAGGTAATAACCCAACTTAAAAGTTCGGTTCAAATAGTGCAAGCTCGTAAATGAACAGCCGAACTCGGTCTACACACCCGCAGTATATAAATAATTATAGTATTATGATGGGAGCACCCAGTCAAACTGTNCCCATAACTTTTTATGGGGGTGAGACCGCCGCAAATTTTTTATGGGGTTTTACTTAGGTGACCACCCTCTTTCGATCCCCCCAACCCTCTTTCGATCCCCCCAACCCTCTTTCGATCTCCCCTACTCCCAGCCCCATCTAACCCCCATAACTTTTTATGGGGGTGAGACCGCCACGAAATTTTTATGGTACAGTGGTGGGGGAGACCTCCACTTTCGAACCCTCCCACCGACCCCCACCTCCGAAGGGCCTTCATCTAGACATTTACTAAATGGGTTAATAACACCTATCGTTACAAGCATCCTCCAGTTTATGAGAATATATGCCATAGATCAATAGCTTACGGCACTTTCCGTCCTCTCCCACCACGGTACGCCGCTTCCTATGGCCCATACCTTTAATCTATGGCCCCTATTAATTTATAAACATTTTAATACCTTTAGCAGACGTTTAGCAGAAGTACACATTTTCCCGCTGTATTTTTGTTATTTACATGGACTAGGTAAATTTGTTTCGCCGTTTTCCTCACTTTTCTATATTCTGCATCAGTACTCAAGCCCTAATATGTTATTTTTTTTCTTCTTTTTTCCTCTGTGGGTGCTAATGTTTGAAATATTTAGTGATGCCATGAATTTGTTTTGATCAGCTTAGATTAGCTGAGATTTTGATAATACTTTTATACCAACTGATACCATTTTTTATGCATTTACATAGAAGATTATTAAAGTTATGTTGTTTCTTGCTCTCCTATATGGCTTCTGTTACGCTCTATGTTTACGCTCTTACGAGTTGTCTATGCTTATAATCATCCACGTTTACCAATGGACATGCCTTAGCGGTCAGAATTGTGGTACAACAAAAGAAAGAGATGGAACGAAGTTTCAGACAATATCCATCTCTCTCATGATAATGCGTAAGCGTGTCATGAAAGAGATAGCACTAGTCCGAAACCATACGCCATCTCCCTCACATTTCGAGCCAAGAAATTATTAGAACGACATATGGCTAAAGCACGTCCATTAATATATGTCTATGCTTATGATGATATTGTTGTGATGATATTGGCCTATTATCTATGATATTGGCTTGCGACTGCTTGCGATGCTTTTACGCTTTTCTTAGAGGCTATCAGAGGCTATATACTCACCAAAACTCATTATCAGTCACTATACCTATTCATTGTCTGTGACTCTTACGCATTCAGTTTTCAACCAATTTTTAACTTTATGTTACATTTCGTGAGAGTCAACATCATGTCAAGATGAAGTCGAATTAATGATATAAAACCCATATCTTTCTGTTTATTTTGATATGTTTGTGATGTATATATTTTAAGATTATTTCGAGTTCAACTGTCCTAAAATAGATGAAACTTATCAACTAAATTAATTTTAATAAGTGGTAATATAGCAAATAATATTTGCATTAACAGTCAAGGTCTATTCATCTTCATTGTAATCACTTTCTTAATATCCAAAACGTAAAAAAAAATGGCTAAAGCTCTTTTCAGCAAGGAAATGAGAAGTTATTTTATGAGGTAAGTTTTAACAAATGTAACGATATTTTAAAACATGAATAAATTGAAATAAATTTTCAAATTTTAAGCACCCACTTTTGGGGTCCTCTTGCAAATTGGGGTATCCCTATTGCGACTATTGCTGACACACAAAAAGACCCTGAAATTATAAGTGGCCCAATGACAACAGGTAAATTGTGTGTACTATTTAAAACAATTGAAATAGTAATTAAGATTTTCAGCTCTGGCTTTGTACTCTGCAATGTTCATGAGGTTTGCGATCAAAGTTCAACCTCGAAATATGCTCCTATTTTCTTGCCATTTTACAAATGAAGTAGCACAACTAGTACAATTGGGACGATTTATTAATTACCATTATATTAGTAAAAAGTAGTTTTATTTTAATGCCAAACTTAATTTTGCTCAAAATAGTTCATGTAATGTAAACAAATGAATTATACGTATAATTTATTGTTGTATTTTAGCAGTTGAAAAAATAAATCACTATTTAAAATGCCTATTTTAAAGAAATAATCAAGTGGACATTAAAAATTACGTAATAAACTATAAATT